AGTGGGGTACCTCAATGTTGTGTCTTAGGCCCAATACTCTTCAACATCTTCATAAATGATCTAAATCAGGGGATATAAGGGGAAACTTGTCAAATTTGCAGATGACATTGGGGAGAATTGCCAATACTTTGGAAGATAGACTCAAGATTCAGAAAGGTCTTGACAAACTTGAGTATTGGGCCCTATCCAATAAGATGCAGTTCAATAGTTGCTTCTCTCCTTGATTAGTTTCCATCCATTGTTTCCTGTCTTGCCTGGTGCTTTGGAGAATAGGTTGACCCCCTCTTCTTTATGGCAGACCCTTAGATATTGGAACACTGTTTTCATATCAGCCCTAGTCCTCCTCTTCATTAAACTTTCAACTTTCAAGATGGCGGTGCCTGGATTGGCTGCAGCTGCATTGGTTCTCAAAGGTGAAAAGTTTTTGGAGGGATGTAGGCCACATGATCGGGAAGGTTTTAATGTGTTTGAGCAATGTAGTGGGACTAAGCCAGTGCTTCTCAATTATTTTCTGTCATGCCCCCCTAGGAAGAAGAAAACATTTTGCGCCCCTCCGCGCGACTGTAAAATTTTTTTTTCTGTACAGAGGACCGATTTCCGGGTCTAAAAGTCACACGGGCGGGTTTGGCCAATCAGGATAGAGCATCATGTCTATCCAATCGGGTCCTTTGCATGTGTCACGTGCGTTGGCGGTCATGTTGTCCTCCGCGTCGGGCTGCCGCTTGCGAGTGAGTCGGATGATCCGATCTAGAAATCCAATATGACAGCATTTGCCGAGGTCAAACGAGCCCCCCTTTACGGAGCCTCGCGCCCCCCCTGGGGGGCGCGCCCCACTATTTGAGAAGCACTGGACTAAGCTAATATAAGATTGATAATCTTTGCTGGCATGACAAGTTTTTAGCTGTTTTGGAATTGTTGGTGAGACCGTTAAATGTTATTTGCGCTGTTTGAAATTGTTCTGCTGGCAGCAAGATCCGACTGCCGACACAGCAACAGATTCTATTGCAAATCAGGGCTGTTTCTAAAGGAGACAGAGGAAAAGAGGACCTGGGGCTTATGGAGTGAAGGAGCTGGATGAGATGTCGGCAGGCCCAGAGGAAGGAAGAGAGGCTTTTGAAGGAATTGGAGGCAGTGGCAGCAGCAGCAAGCCCCAGGGGCAAAAAGGAGCAAGGCCCCTTTAAGAAAAAGGTGGAAGAGACAGGATCAGAAAAAGCAAAGGAGGCGAGGTTGTCGTGCAGGAATCGAAGCTAAATTGAAGGCTAATCCAACATGGAGCTCCATTTCCGTCTGTCCTGTTTGCCAACATTTGTTCCCCAGAGACTAAAATGGACGATCTGAAACTTGAGCTGGCCGCGAACAAGGAGGTGAGAGACTGCTGTTCTATATTCCTGACAGAGACATGGTTAAAGTCGTCTATTCCAGACAATGCTATCAGTATGATGAGCTTTTCAACATTTCGGCTGGACAGGAGTAGTGATTTGAGTGGAAAATCCTGTGGTGGGGGAGGTATGTATTTGTATTCATGAGAGGTGGTGCACCAATGCTAAGGTAGTCTCCAGCCAGTGCTCTCCTGATGTTGAGTGTTTGGCTGTGAAATGCAGACCCTTTTATTTGCCAAGAGATTTTATTGTCATCTTAATCATAGCTGTATATATTCTCCCCAGTGTCAACAAGAATGCTCTTTATTGCACTATCAGTGATTTGCAAACTATCCACCAAGAGCGGGTTTTCATTGTGGTAGGGGATTTCAATCAGATTGACTTGAAAGCAGCCTTCCCTAATTTCCATCATTACCTGGATTTTCCTACCAGAGGTGCGAATTCTCTGGATTTAGCTTACTCTAACATTGAGAAAGCATTTAAGGCTGCTCCTCACCCTCATTTTGGCTCCTCAGATCATCTCTCTGTGATGCTTATGCCAGCACATAAGCCTTTGTTAATTAGAAAGATACCAATTAGAAAACAAGTGAGAGTGTGGCCTGCAGGAGCTATGGAAGCTCTACAAGACTGTTTTGGGTACACAAACTGGAACATATTTAAAGAGGCTGCAATGAATGGACAACATACTGATGTGAACAAGTATGCTTCTACTGTGTCTGCTTATATTCAAAAGTGTATGGAGGATGTCAGTGTTCTTAAGTTTATTATAATGCAAGCAAATGAGAAACCCTGGATGTCACAGAAGGTCTGCACACTGTTGAAGGTGAGAAACACAGCTTTCAAATCAGGTGATGCGGCAGCATTTAGAACAGTGGTTCTCAACCTTTTTAATGCCGCAACCCCCAACTGGTCGTAAGTCGAGGACTACTCAACTGGTGCAGCACCATTTGCAGAATGGGACTTTTGGCGGGCTCAGCAGGGCAGAGACAGCCTGGACAATTCCTATTGGCTTTTGAAAGCCAATAGAATTAGACTTTATTCAAGAGAGTCTATTCTATTGGCTTTCAAAAGCACAGCTAAGGAAAAGGGGAAAAAATGGCGGACTGCGTTGTTTGGCAACCCCCGTGAAATGGTCGTTTGACCCCAAATGGGGTCCCGACCCACAGGTTGAGAACCACTGATTTAGAATAGCAGGAACTGAGTTGAGGCGTGCTATAAAATCAGCAAAGTGGGCCTATAGTCAGAAAGTGCAGAATTTCTTTCAAGATTCTATGGACCCGAGACGTAAGTGGTAAGGTACTTAGGTAATTACTGATTATAAGGCAGCTTCACTGACATGTGAGGGCGACACAGACTCTCTAAACAACTTAAATATGTTTTTTGGATGGTTTGAGACCACAAACAATGTTCCAACAAGAAAGGCTGTTCCCCTTCCTGATGAGCAGGTACTCAGATTTGATACAACTATTGTTCAGAAGGAAAGTCAACACTTGGAAAGCTGCGGGTCCTGATAATATCCCTGGGTGAGTATTTAAGAAGTGTGCTGACCACTGGCCACTGTTCTAACAGACATCTTTAATCTCCGTGATTCCATCATGTTTTAAGACTGCAATCATTGTACCAGTGCCCCAAAAAACTAAAATCACATGCCTTAATGATTACAGTTCAGTTGCACTCACTTCCATTATGATGAAGTGTTTTGAAAGATTAATAAAAGACTACATGATTTCATGCCTTCCCCCTACATTTGACTCATTACAGTTTGCCTATCGGAAGAACTACTCTGTAGAAGATGCAGTTTCCTGCGTGCTTCATCTTAGCTTGGTGCACCTGGAGGGGAAGAATATTCATGTGTGAATGCTGTTTGTGGGTTTTAGTTCAGCATTCAACACAATCATCCCTCAGCATCTGGTGAACAAACTGGGCCTATTAGGTTTTAATACTCCTTTATGCATTTGGATACTTGATTTCCTTATTGATAGGCCCCAGGTTGTGCGAGTTGGAAAGAAACTTTCCAATTCCACCTCCTTGAGTACAGGTTCTCCACAGGGCTGTGTCCTGAGTCCACTATTATTTACCTTGATGACCCATGACTGCTGTGCCAAATCTGCTATGAATCCTATAGTGAAGTATGCAGACAACACAGCAGTGGTGGGTCTTATCCAGATGACAATGAAGATGCTTACAGGGAAGAGGTGAAGGTTTTGGTGGACTGGTGCAATAAAAGTAACCTGGTTCTAAATGTTGATGAAACAAGGAGATCATTGTAGATTTCAGAAAGAGCTGGCTTAGCATACTTTACTCAGTATCAAGGATGCAGCTGTACAGATGGTCAACAGTATTAAGTATCTGGAGGTGCAGATAATCTGAATTGGTCTCTCCACATGTCATCCTTAGTGAAGCATGCAAACCAGCGTCTACATTTCCTGCGTCGGATGAGGAGAGCACATCTTTCTCCTTCTGTCCTGGCCACTTTTTACAGAGGCACAATTGAAAGCATTTTAACAAATTGCATCACTGTTTGGTTTGGTGGCAGAAGTGCTTCAGATAGAAAGTCCATACAGAGAATGGTAAGGACAGCCGAGAAGATCATAGGAAGCTCACTCCCTGGTATTCAGGATGCTGTTTATAAGTGCCAGAGCTCAAAGCATTGTTAGAGACCTCACACAGCCACTTTATGGTCTATTTCTGTTGCTCCCCTCTGGGAGGAGGTTTCAAAGTATTTCTAGCAGGACTACCCAATTCTGTAATAGCTTTGTTCCCTATGCCATCCGTCTGGTAAACCCGCAAGATTCATTTTTCTTGCCATGCACATGTATACATAACCGAACTAGACTGTTGTTTCTCAGTGTCATATAATATATTAAATGTATGCATAATTCTGTATTTATTTATTTATTTATTTTTGTCATATTTATGCAGTGTATATCAGAAGTGATGATCCTTTTGAGAGCTGAATTCAATAAAATTTCATTTTAATGTATGCCGATTAGTGTACATTCAAAGTGACAATAAAGTTATTCTATTCTAAACTAGGCATACCCAATTCCAACAACCGTTCCTTATATGTTTTAGCCTCCAGTCAGCTAATCATCTTTGTTGCTCTTCTCTGTAGTTTTTCTAGAGTCTCAACATCTTTTTTACATCGTGGTGACCAAAACTGGATGCAATATTCCAAATGTGGCCTTACCAAGGCATTGTAAAGTGCATTAACATTTCATGTGATCTTAATTCTATCCCTCTGTTAATGCAGCCTAGGACTGCTTTGACTTACAGAAGAGAGAGTTATTCTCCAAAACATCTGAGGGCAGGACAAAAAGCGATTAGTGTAAGCTCATTAAAGAGTGATCCTATCTGGAACTAAGGAGAATTTTCCTGACAGTGGGAACAATGGAACAGCTTGCCTCCTAGGGTTGTGGTTGCTCCATTGCTGGAATTTTTCGAGAAAAGATTGGACAGCCATTTATCAAGGATAGCATAAGGCCTCCTGATTTGGGCAGGGGCTTAGACTAGAATATCTCCAAGGTTCCTTCCAAGCCCTATAATTCTATGAGCATCTAGTGTGATCAATGCATGAAAAAAGTAAAACAACCCTAAAATATACTTGCTGTCTCAACATACCTGCTCATGTGACCATGTCCGTTCAGAACCATCCTTCACACATATATCTAGTCTAAGTTCAGTGCCTGTTCCACCATGCTTACTGTCCATACAGAGATTAGATGCCACATTCCGAATCTGTAAAATTAACAAATCTATTTTAAGCATCACAACAGAATTTGGATAATGCTGATTTGTCTGAAAAAGAAGAGAAGAAACTTTTGTTTTTTGCCAATTCAATTCAGTACAATATTGACAAGAAGTTTTACTTTTGGCTAAAGAGTTAAAAATCAGCTGCATTTTGCTTAGTTTTAGTCTATAAGATTTGTCATTGAATATAAGGCGATTTATGAGGAAGATATCTGTTAACTGAACATGGAAGAGTAAAGGAGGAGTATCTGGAGAATCAAAGTCCATATTGCCTATTAGACTTTAAAATAACTATAAAGAACTTTTATGCAAATTTATTTGTAATTTCTTATTTGTAAAGATTTATCTGTATGATAGGATGCAATACCTATTCTTTTAATATTACAGTATCTTCCAGTTCAATACTGCCATTGGATTTGAGTAAGTTTTTATCTTTTGTCACTGTAAATGGACAGAAGCTAATTAAATAAAAAAGAAAGAGTTTTATCATAACTTCAAAAAAAGACTTGCCAAATCAAGGTGACAAGCCATTCTGAGGTGGGGAGGAAGTCTGCTCAAGAAGGAAGTAATATGTTTTGCCTTACATTTGTATTGTATCTGCTTAGTTTTCAACAGTTTTGTACAAGAGATACACAGCGAAGCCTTGCATTTTGTGTATCCCAGTGAATGCATTTAATTTACATTCATTCCTATTGTATTTATATGAGTTGAATCAAAACATCAAAATTTCTTGGCACTTGAAATGTTGGCACTTGAGCTCAACTGATTATTAACTTGTATTGATATCAATTGTATGTTGCTCAGGAACTGGATGTTACAGAGAAACACTGAGGTTTACACAACTCTTTAACACATTCATACTAGTGTATGAATATTCTGGACTAATGTTTCTATTGGCCAATCTCTCAAAAGCAGCTGGTTGGTGATCAGTGAAAATCTTCTCTGTTGCTGGCCTTGTAGTTAAGTGCACTCTTCAACTGACCTGATAATTAAAGGAGTGTAAATAAAGTTACTGTGCCTTTGTTATCCAAATTTAAAATTCATTTTGTGTGCAATTTTGAGCCAATTTCCCTCATCTGCATTTAGAACACCCATTAAAATAATACTGTCTCAATAGAAGGGAATATTTGTAATCAATACTCTAATCAAAAAACTAAGGAGAAAGCTACACCTCCATCAAAACTAGCATATAAAAAGATAGCAAAGCCCACACTCATTTACACTGATAATGTTACCCAGTTGGATAATGAAATGTCTGCAAGTGAACAACCAAGTTCAGGATGCACCAAGAAGTTCACAACTTTGTCTTAGCATGTCCTTTGCTAGCTAAAATATGAGATGCAGGGAGAATGGCCTTCCCCATAAGGTTCACAGAACAGCATTTAAAATGGAAATATCTCCTTTGGTATGCACTACTGCTAAATAAAAAGGACAACTGTGAACCTAGATCAGGCCTCCAAGGAGATATCACTGGAACAGAGCAAAACGTAGCTAAAGTATCCTAGCTAAAATGTGTGTGTGTTTTTTAATGTTTATAAAGTTATTTCTTTTCTTGAATGTTCTTTATTTGTATTTTTTGCTGATATTAATGTTAAATATCTAGAGTATCTTGTAAGTAGGTAACCATATAAATCATGAGTGTCAAACTCGCAATGTCATGTGATGTGTCATTACGTATTGTGACTTTTTTCCTATTGCTGGCAAAGGGGTGGGTGCAGTTTTGGCGTGATGCATTCTGCCCATGGGCTGGCAGTTTGACACCCCTGAAATTATAAATTGACATAGCTAACTAAACAGGCTGCTTGGTTTCGTATGAGCTGTTAAAGTTAGCAGAACTGTTCTTAAAGGAGGAATTGTTCAAAAGTACCCATATATAGAGTGCCAATGTCAAGAAGAGCAGTATTTATTTTATAATTCAAAGTTTAGAAATTGCTGTAATTTATGTAATTATTTTTTGGAAAACAAGTTATCAGGCTCATGAAATGCAATTTGTCAACTTTTCAGATCAGCTCTAAGTCAAGACAACACAACAACATAATCTTTCAAGAACATGCATAGAAAACACACACTCCAACATCCTATGATATACTTTTTCACCAGAAAAGCAAATAAAGGATTATAGTATCATACAGTACTTTTGAGTGAAAAACTATGTATTCATAACCTGTTATCAGCTAGCATTAAAAATGTGTATATGCAGTGCTTTTTTTCTAAAAAAAAAAAAAAAAAGGTGCCGGAACTCACACGTCATACAACCCTTGCCTTGCCTACCCTACAAGGTTCCATCCAAAAAAGGTGCCGGAACTCCGTTCTGGGTGTTCTGTGAGAAAAAAAAGCCCTGTGTATATGTAAGTACATCCATCCACAAATAAAACAAATATTGCATGCTAAATAAAGCAAAAAAAAAAAAAAAGGACAGAAGGTAGGATAGGAGAAACCTATTTTCTGAAGAAAATTTCAAGAAACTGCACATATTAATTTTGTGAAAAAACAAATATTATTGATTCTCCATAACCTTAAAATCTGTGAGCATTTGCAATCTTAATATGTTTTAATAACAAAGGAGAACAGGCAACTTTATCCGTTTACTTCTTTCTACTTAAATCTATGAGAACTTCTGCCTTGGTAGAAAAGCAAGGAACAAGCCATCCACAGTATTACACTAATTCCAGAATAGAATAGAATAGAATAGAATAGAATAGAATAGAATAGAATAGAATAGAATGGAATGGAATGGAATGGAATGGAATGGAATAGAATAGAATAGAATAGAATAGAATAGAATAGAATAGAATAGAATAGAATAGAATAGAATAGAATAGAATAGAGCTGGAAGGGACCTTGGAGGTTTTCTAGTCCAGCCTCCTGCTCAAGCAGAAGAACCTATACCATCTCAGACAAGTGACTGTTTAGCCTCTTTTTAAAAAACTCCAGTGATGGAGCACCCACGATTTCTCGGGGCCAGCTATTCCACTGATTAATTATCCTCACTGTCAGCAAGTTTCTTCTAAATTCCAGGTTGCTTCTCTATTTGATCAGTTTCCAACCATTGTTTCTTTTCCTGCCCTCTGGTGCTTTGGGGAATAATGTGACTCCCTCTTCTTTGTGGCAGCCCCTCAAATACTGGAATACTGCTATCATGTCACCCGTTTCTTCTTTTAGTCTCCAGGCCTTTGATCATTTTAGTTTATCTCCCATATTTCTTCTTTTCTTTAAGCGAGCCAATCCCAAGTCGTGCAGCCATTCTTTGTATATTTTAGTCTCTAGGCCTTTGATCATCTTTGTTGCTCTTCTCTGAATTTTTTCCTAACTCTCAACATCTTTTTTGTGATATGGTGACCAAAATTGGCTGCAGTATTCCAGGTGTGGTCTTACTAGGGTTTTATAAAATGGTACTAATACCTCACATGATCTTGATTCTATGCCTCTGTTTATACAACCCAGGATTGTATTAGCCTTTTTGGCTGCTGCTGCACACTGCTGGCTGATAGTCAAGTGATTGTCCACTAGGATTCCAAGGTCCCTCTCACAGTTACTGTTTTTAAGCTAGGTCTTGCCCAATCTGTACTTGTACCTTTGATTTTTCCTACCTAAATGTAAAACTTTGCTTTTCTCCACATTGAAACTCATTTTGTTGGATAGGGCCTATTGTTCAGGTTTGTCAACATCTTTTTGGATCCTGAGTTTGTCTTCTGGGGTGTTGGCTACTCCTGGTAGTTCTTCCTTCTTTACTGTTGGGTTAATTCCTTGCTAATCCACTATGTAACCTTAGTTATGCAGTTCAGAAAACCCCAGGTAACCTTTGGCTAGATAGATAGTTAAGCCTGCTGCTTCAAGACTGGAAATAAATTCTTCAACTGCTGCAAGTATTCTTCCAAACAGAGTTGTAAATAATGACATTTTCCAGATATGCTTCATAGTATCTCCCCAACAGGAGGTCTCTTACAACCAAAAGGCATATTTGAAATTAGAATGGCCTCTGAATTGTAATCAAAACTGATTTCTCTGGAGGTTGCCTGGAGACAAATTTGCCTATAGATCTTTCTAAGTCTGGCTTAAGTATTTTACTCTTTTCAATTGAACTAGTTGATTATGGAAGCACAAGCAATAGAACACAGTCAAACTAGAGTCTTGGACTTCAAGAGAGCTAATTTCAATAAACTTAGAGAGGGTTTGGGAAGGATTCCATGGATGAGAATCCTCCAGGGGAAAACAACTCAAGAGGCTTGGGAAATTTTGAAAAGTGAGATAATAAAGGCCCAGTCTAGCACAATACCAACAAAGAGGAAAAATAATAGTTCTCAAAAGAAACCAGCATGGCTGCATAAAGAACTCTCTGATCAATTGAAAGATAAAAAGGACAAGTATAGAAAGTGGAAAGAGGGACACTTAACTAAGTCAGAATATCAGCAAATAGCCCGAGCCTGCAAAGACGAGGTGAGGAAAGCTAAGGCTCAAAATGAACTAAGGCTTGCAACCAAAGTCAAAAATAACAAAAAAAAGCTTCTTTCAACATGTAAAGAATAAGAAAAAAGTGAAGGAAACGATTGGTCCATTAGTGGGTGAAAGTAGCAAGAAGGTGACAAGCAACAGGGAGAAAGCAGAACTATTTAATTCCTTTTTTGCATCTCTCTTTACACAAAGGGAAAAAAATAGACCAACCTATCAAAAATAGTGCCATAAAAAACAAAATAGAAATAGGCAAGAAAATGGTAAGTGAACACCTGTCCAGCCTAGACAAGTTCAAAGCACCAGGACCAGATGGATTACACTCCAAGGTTCTTAAGGAACCGGCAGATTTGATCTCAGAACCACTGAACTATATTTTTCAAAGATCCTGGAGCACTGGGGAACTACCAGAGGACTGGAAAAGAGCTGATGTAGTTCCCATCTTCAAAAAAGGACCCAGGAAATTACAGACCTATCAGCCTGACCTCAATACCTGGGAAGATTCTGGAAAAGATAATCAAACAATGAATCAGCGAATA